TAAACAAGTGAGAACGACTGTCAGGCTTCAACAAACAAGCAAACAACGAAGCTTAAACATATTGACAATTTAATTAACTTCAGAACTTAAAATTGAACATAAAACTGATCTTAAGAAACTATTTCATCTGGCCACGAAAATGGTCTCCAAACTGATCTTCAACTTGAACGTTGTTGAACCTGTACGAACGGCCTTGTTACGAGGAATAACAGTCTTGATACATGGATGAAAGGTCTTAATTGATACATAGATGAACGGCCTTGATACATGGATAAAAGACCTTCATACATTGATGAACGGCCTTGATACATGGATAAGACCTTTATACATGGATGAAAGGTTTTGATACATGGATGAACGGCCTTCATACATTGATGAACGGCCTTGATACATGGATAAAAGACCTTCATACATTGATGAACGGCCTTGATACATGGATGAATGACCTTGATCCACGAATGAACGACTGGGAGACCTTACCCTGACGAATGATCAGACACGTTGATAAGCGCCCGTATAGTGTAGATCAGAGATTATTGAAACAACTGGAGACCCGAAGACAATCAGAACAAACAGACACACGCCGGAACGTCTTGTGAAAATCAGAATCTTTGAGCACTGGTGTCGTCTGATGAGGATATCGTTGATCTGTATGATCCGTCGATTATTGATCAATTCCGTCTAATGTTAATTTTGATCATGTTGCAAGTTGACCTTAACGACAAGTTCTGAAGACAGTAACGACGATGTTTCTTAAAGTGAATATTCCTTTGTGAACAAATCCACAAGGGCCGTGACGAGGATTCGAACCTGCGTCCGGGAGCATCACAGACACTGCCTTAATCGACTGAGCTACGACAGGGTAAAAAGGGTTGAAACCGAAGTTCTACTGAACTTACTGGATCCCGTAGCCTCTCCGAGGCACAAACCCTTTTAACCCTGTCGTAGCTCAGTCGATTAAGGCAGTGTCTGGGATGCTCCCGGACGCAGGTTCGAATCCTCATCACAGTCCTTGTGGATTTGTTCATTTGATGCATCACGTTAGTGTGATCTCTGTGTGTGATTCCTTTGTGAGTGCAAGGAGTGCAAGTTCTTCGTCTCAGAAGGACCCTCTGGTTGTACTCAACATACATGAAGAACTCATCTACACATAGGTGTAGCTTGGCTAGTCCAAGTGCACTTGAAAAGGGGGATAATTTTTGTTATAGCTAGCACGTCTAGGCATTGTTTTGACTCGAGATTATTGTCTTAATCCTAAGACACACTTGAAGGAGATCTAACAACTCCCAACTTTGACTTGAGAAATCACGTGATCGCGACATATCCATGTATGTTAAAATATATATATATATCACAATTAGCAAAGGGACTCCAACATCTTGGACCAATCAGAAAGTTGGATGTCATGTTTCGACCAATCAGAACGCTATGTATCACGACTATGGGCGGAGTTAGGGTTTCTCACGTCATTTCTAACACCTGTGTTAGACATGTAACACCTGTCTAACACATGTCTAACACCTGTCGAGTCCCTGTGGCCTCTTCAAGACGTTCTTCACATTCTGCCAAGCCATCTCTGGCTCCTCCCCTTCATTTATATTATGAAGCACTACTCTAATACACTTTTAGTCACACAAAACAAATCTTTGTGTCGAGATGGCTTGGCTGAATGTGAATATATATATATATATATATATATATATATATATATATATATATATATATATTTGGTGTTTGTTTACTGTTGGCTACGTAGTAACGCACTTTACGCCTGCAACTTTGTTTGATTACTGGCACTGTAGTTGGCACTTGTTCCAGCGGTACGTTAGTGTGACGTAGATGGTAGTGATCTTAGGCATATATATATCCCACACACACACACACACATACACACACACACGCACACACACACACACACACACACACACACACACACACACACACACACACACACACACACACACACACACATACACACACACATACACAGACACACACACACACACACACACACACACACACACACACACACACACACACACACACACACACACACACACACACACACACACACACACACAGAGGGAGATCTCACACAGATCTCCCGGAGGGTATCGATTCATTTCTCTCAATGTTTGCGGACGATGCTAAAATTATGAGAAGGATTAAAACAGAAGAGGACTGTTTGAGGCTTCAAGAAGACCTAGACAAGCTGAAGGAATGGTCGAACAAATGGTTGTTAGAGTTTAACCCAACCAAATGTAATGTAATGAAGATAGGTGTAGGGAGCAGGAGGCCAGATACAAGGTATCATCTGGGAGAGGAAATTCTTCAGGAGTCAGAGAAGGAAAAAGACTTGGGGGTTGATATCACGCCAGACCTGTCTCCTGCAGCACATATCAAGCGGATAACATCAGCGGCATATGCCAGGCTGGCCAACATACGAACGGCATTCAGAAACTTGTGTAAAGAATCATTCAGAACTTTGTATACCACATATGTCAGGCCAATCCTGGAGTATGCAGCCCCAGCATGGAGTCCATATCTAGTCAAGGATAAGACTAAACTGGAAAAGGTTCAAAGGTTTGCCACCAGACTAGTACCCGAGCTGAGAGGTATGAGCTACGAGGAGAGACTACGGGAATTAAACCTCACTTCGCTGGAAGACAGAAGAGTTAGGGGGGTCATGATCACCACATTCAAGATTCTGAAGGGGATTGATAGGGTAGATAAAGACAGTCTATTTAACACAAGGGGAACACGCACAAGGGGACACAGGTGGAAACTGAGTGCCCAAATGAGCCACAGAGATATTAGAAAGAACTTTTTTAGTGTCAGAGTGGTTGACAAATGGAATGCATTAGGAAGTGATGTGGTGGAGGCTGACTCCATACACAGTTTCAAGTGTAGATATGACAGAGCCCGATAGGCTCATGAATCTGTACACCTGTTGATTGACGGTTGAGAGGCGGGACCAAAGAGCCAGAGCTCAACCCCCGCAAACACAACTAGGTGAGTACTAGGTGAGTACACACACACACACGGGACACCACGAGCGTAGCTCTCACCCTGTAAGTACACTTAGGTAATTACACCCACGCAGTTGATTGACAGTTGAAAGCCGGGCCGAAAGAGCAGAGCTTACCCCCCGTAAGCACAACTAGGTGAATACACACACACATAATACAAAATACATATGAATTATGTATTCATAATTTATGCACATATAATTCTGTATTCCCAGAAGGAATACAGAATTATATGAACATGTTTGCTGATGATACCAAGATACTGGGCAAGACAGGAGACGCAGATAAAATAAGATAGAGATAAAATAAGTCCTTGGAGCGTCAAGTGGCTAATGGAATTCAATGTGATTAAATGCCATGTTATGGAATGTGGAATCGGAGAAAATAGACCTCACACAAGTTAAAAATTATGTGGAAAGGAATTACAGAACTCCAATAAGGAATGAGACCTAGAGATGGTTTTGGATAGTAAAGAACACATAAACAATATTGTGTGAGGAGCGTATGCGTCGCTTTCCAACTTGTTTTTAATCATATGGCTGGTGAAACACTAAAGAAACTGGTCATAACCTTCGTGAGACCATAACTGGAATATGCAGCAGCTGTATGGTGCCCAAATCTCAAGAAACTGGAAAAGGTGCAGCGGCATGCTACAAAATGGCTTCCGGAACTGAAAAACATGAGTTACTAGGATAAACTAGAGGCATTAAACATGCCAGAACTAGAAAATACAAGAAAAAAGGTGATATGATCACCACTTACAAAATACTAACAGGAATAGGCCAAACTGACATGAGGAATTTCTGAAACCAGCAACTTTACGAATATAAAGATACAGATTCAAGCTAAGGAAGTGAAGGTGATGAAAAATATTATTAACACACACACACACACACACACACACACACACACACACACACACACACACACACACACACACACACACACACACACACACACCCCCCCCGCCCACACACACACACACACACACACACACACACACACATTGACTGCAGCTAGCGAGAGAACATATGTTTGAAGGCGTCTTGGACTCTAGCTCTTGGACTCTAGCTCTTGGACTCTAGCTCTTGGACTCTAGCTCTTGGACTCTAGCTCTTGGACTCTAGCTCTTGGACTCTAGCACAGTAGCACTTGTTCATACTGAACATCTCCGCATCTCTCGCACCAACACCTGTCTCGTTGATCAACTTGACTATGACTATCGTGTCCTTGAATGCGTTGTTCTGTCCTCCAATACGTCTGTGTGTCTTGTAAATTATTTTTTGTATTATTAAAGTAGTGTTCAGTAGTTCAATTTGTTCAATGAGAAATTTGTTCATTTTGTTCATTCATTATTCATCTTTATTAATGGGGGATGGGGGGGGAAGGGATGAATACTGGGTAGTCTTGTGCTTCTCCTATACCATCACCATTCTTATTATCATCATCACTATCACCTCAGCCACTAACACCTCCATCAACACCATCTCACTATCGTTATTACCCAACATTAATCACCATCATTTACGACATGGATGTTTACAGCACCATCAAGAACAGTATTTACAGTATCACCATCACTAGGATCTATAAAACTCATGTTCATGGCATCACTATCACCACCACCACCATCACCACCACCATCACCATCACCACCATCACCTACACCACCACCATCACCACCCCCCCCCACCACCACCATCACCATCACCACCATCACCTACACCACCACCATCACCATCACCACCATCACCTACACCACCACCATCACCACCAACACCAACACCACCACCACCACCACCACCACCATTACCACCCCCCCCCCCACCACCACCACCATCACCACCACCACCACCACCACCACCACCACCATCACCACCACCATCACCACCACATCACCCCATAATATAACAGAACAAGCCACCCAGCTACTCACCATATTAATATAACCTCTAATTTATACGAGGGTAGACGGCCGCGCCGAGAAAGGAGACTTTACAGGTGAGGAATCCCTCAATCTCTCCTACCTCACTTAGATGGTTTTTTGGTTAGCTTTTCCAGCTTTCGTTCTCTCACCTCTCACTCTCTCCCTCCCCTCTTTCTCTCTCACTCCTCAATTATCTCCCCTATTATTTTAACATTAACAACTCCTTCCTACTTCCTAATATCACCATTTTATCTTCTTATTAAACAAACCTTTTTGCTTTATCTTTTTCCTGTTGTACTACGTTCTTGTGCACTAAAAAGTATATTAGAATGTTTTTCATTGTGCAGTTTAATAATGCCTACAGCAGGGGTTTGAGTCCTTAGGGCACAGTAACTATCAAATAACTGTCCAATAATCTCAGTTTAATTTTTTATTTCATCTAAAGTCAATTGTTTTCATATTTGGCGCCGGGTAAAGCGGCCCCCTACTGTAAGGAGCAAGGTCCCGCGGTGGTAGTAAAGATTCACGCCCTTTGCTACGGCCCTGAGCACGCTAGTGGTTTTATAATGCTATACTCTAGTGCCAGCAGAGAGATTATGTTCTCTGTCTCCCTCTTGTAGAGACAGATAGCATGTTATCTCCCTCTTGTAGAGACAGATAGCATGTTATCTCCCTCTTGTAGAGACAGATAGCATGTTATCTCCCTCTTGTAGAGACAGATAGCATGTTATCTCCCTCTTGTAGAGACAGATAGCATGTTATCTCCCTCTTGTAGAGACAGATAGCATGTTATCTCCCTCTTGTAGAGACAGATAGCATGTTATCTCCCTCTTGTAGAGATAAAGATGGTATGATATCTTTCTTTTGTAGAGACAGATAGCATGCAATCTCCCTCTTGTAGAGATAGAGATGGTATGATATCTCCCTCTTGTAGACACAGATAGCATGTTATCTTCCTCTTGTAGAGATAGAGATGGTATGATATCTCCCTCTTGTAGAGAGAGAGAGAGATGCTATGTTCCGTCTCCTTCGTATAGAGACAGAGATGGTATGATATCTTCCTCTTGTAGAAATAGAGATATTATGTTATCTCCCTCTTGTAGAGACAGATAGCATGTTATCTCCCTCTTGTAGAGATAGAATGTTATCTCCCTCTCGTAGGGACAGATAACATGTTATCTTCCTCTTGTAGAGACAGATAGCATGTTATCTACCTCTTGTAGAGACAGAGATAGCATGTTATCTGCCTCTTGTAGAGACAGATAGCATGTTATCTACCTTTTGTAGAGACAGAGATAGCATGTTAACTGCCTCTTGTAGAGACAGATAGCATGTTATCTCCCTTTTGTAGAGACAGATAGCATGTTATCTCTCTCTTGTAGAGATAGAGATAACATGCTATCTTCCTCTTGTAGAGACAGATAGCATGTTATCTCCCTCTTGTAGAGACAGATAGCATGTTATCTCCCTCTTGTAGAGACAGATAGCATGTTATCTCCCTCTTGTAGAGACATATAGCATGTTATCTCCCTCTTGTAGAGACAGATAGCATGTTATCTCCCTCTTGTAGAGACAGATAGCATGTTATCTCCCACTTGTAGAGACAGCATGTTATCTCCCTCTTGCGGAGACAGATAGCATTTTATCTCCCTCTTATAGACAGAGATAGTATGTTATCTCCCTCTTTTTTTTTAAATAGTATGTTACCTCTCTCGTAGATAGATATATTTTTCTCCCTCACGTAGAGACAGATACTACAGTATCTTTCCTTCGTGTCTAAATGATGGAGAGAGAGATAAAAGGTTATCTTTTCCTCTTTTAAACAGAAAATTTGAATCTTCCAAGTATATGGAGAGAGAAATGTGTGTAACTCTGCCATATATATGGAAGCTTTAATATCTCTCTTCTTCATATAGAGTTAGAATCTCCTTGGTTTAGAGAGACAGAGAAACAGCTTGAATACTAACTTACTTTGGAGGTAAATAAGATTGTTTACAATTAAATAAACTTTGATATTTACATTAAAATTTTGATATTTTAGTATCTATAATATATATATATATATATATATATATATATATATATATATATATATATATATATATATATATATATATATATATTCAATAATTTCCACTGTACCTTAACTAATAGTGAATAATGAGATGAGTTGATGAGTTGATTCAATGTAATATTTTTCCTCACCGACATGATGATTTAAATCTAGGTGATGAATACCTGCTAATTAATCTTAATTACTAGTTATTTCTAATTAAATAAACGCTATGTGCAAGGTCACACACCCACACACACACACACACACACACACACACACACACACACACACACACACACACACACACACACACACACACACACACACACACGCACACACACACACACACACACACACACACACACACACACACACACACACACACACACACACACATACGATCATTAGTGAAAATAAATAACTCATTTCATCATTTCCTTATGGCTAATTTTTCGTTTATAAACTATTTCAGTTACTTTTTTTCCCTTCAAGCATATTCATATAAAGATATAAATGCCCTAAAGTAAAAAAACTCTTGAGAGCTAAAACTTTACGAACTAAAAAAAGAGTCACTGAAGTTTCGACTCTTATATACGAAGCTCTATACCACATCTGTCTAGAAGAACTTTCAAACATGTACAAAAACCGAACGTGCAAGCCAAAATAGAACTTATTATTTATTTTTCCATTTATGTGCATGTGTGTGTGCGTGCGTGTGTGCGTGTGCGTGTGTGTGTGTGTGTGTGTGTGTGTGTGTGTGCGTGTGTGCGTGGCCTGAGGAGAGATGGAGAGAGAGGGAGTTACATCTGCTTTGATGCATTCACGATTGGATTTAATTGGTAAAGTTTTTAGTCAGTGGTTTACCCCCCCTCCCCCTTCATATTTTCCCCTCTGCTTCCCCCCCTCTTTTCTCTCCTCTCTCTTCCTCCTCTCCTTTTCCTCTCTGTCCTCTTTTCTCCGTCTCTCTGGACCCTTCTCCCCTAGCCAGGCTCCTGCGCAAAGGAGAGAGAGAGAGTGGGAGAGAGATAAAGAGAGAGAGAGAAAGGGAGGGAGATAGAAAAGAGAGAAAGAGAGAGAGAGAGAGAGAGAGAGAGAGAGAGAGAGAGAGAGAGAGAGAGAGAGAGAGAGAGAGAGAGAGAGAGAGAGAGAGAGAGAGAGAGAGAGAGAGAGAGAGAGAGAGAGAGAGAGAGAGAGAGAGTGGTTGTAGTGAAATCTGGCGACATATTCCCGTAGATTTCTTCGAGTGGTGGTCGACTTTGTTAGTGAATTAGTGTGGCTATAATTGTTGAAGGAGGTTGTTAGTGGAATTATGGTTGATGAAGGGGCTCGTTTGAGTGTCTATGTTGTTGCCAGGGGTGATTAGCGTGTGTCTGGTTGTTGAAGGGTATTGTTTGAGTGTTTATTGTTTGCTAAAGGGGGGCTTGTTTGTGTGTGTGAGTTTATGATTGGTGAAAGGGGATCGTTGGCTTGTTTATGGTAATTAAAGGGATTGTGAGTCTTATCAAATCTAATCTTTACTCGCAAGCACTTACTCTGGCCTCATAAATCCCATTTCTACTCACAGCCACATACTGTGACCTCATAAATCCCAATTGGACTCATAACTACTGCATGGTATAATATTGGACCGACACTCATACGCCAACACGCACTCACAATCACTCAAAACACTTTATAATTTGCTCATAATACCTCACAGTTTACTCACGACTCATAATACAGATATAAATTAAAGATAATATTCAACAAATCAGAGCGAGAGCAAAAGATAACAAGATTATCACAAATTATCAATCAGATAATAATTTAAAGTCAAAATTTGTCAAATTATTCACTAAAGATGACAGTTAAAAATGACACTTCAATACACAGCAAATGTCAAGTTATTTTTTTTAACAAATTGGATGTAATCAATTACAACTTTTCTACAACAAAATTAGATTTACATTAAAATAACATTACACACACACACACACACACACACACACACACACACACACACACACACACACACACACACACACACACACACACACACACACACACACACACACTCAAATATAATATTAATAATAATAATAATAAAATTTATTTTTATTAAACATCATATCGTCAAAAAATATGTAATAATTCCTTATGATACAATAGTCTTAAACTCAACTAATTATATAAAGCTGAATTGTATTTTTAAATTCTTCATAAAATCTAAGCAATACAGTTTAAAATCTACATAAATCAGTAAACTATAAAATTCATAGATTTATAGAAATTATCTCTTAACTCTAGAAATTATACAATTTATACAAATCTCATATATGCTTTATATTTGTCATTCAAGATTTTTTTTTATCGTTAATAACATTTATATAAATTTTATATACTAAGAGTTTTATAATTTAAAATAAAATAATTTATGACATATTGAAATGATTAAGGAACAGCTGTTGTCATCAGGCAGCTGTTTATGCTAAATTGAAGTCATTAAAAACCTTGACAATCAATCCAAGTCATTTAGCAGTGATCTCAATTTAAAAAAAAAGCGTTTGTTAAGGTAGACTAAAATAAAATTTTCACTAGTCCCACTCAGGGTCCTCAGTATATAAATTATAATTAGATTTAATACTATAATTCTTCAATATTGATCTTGCACAGTTATGACCCTCGGGTAAGACACCTACAGTCAGTAGACAATAATATTCTGGATTCATCAAAGTATTCCTCTACTCGCCATTCACTTAGAAATATAAGGTCCAGATGTTAATTTTGGCGATTTATGTAACTGTCAGAGATCTGTTTATCCTAGCGGGCCAACAGTGCCTTACAGCATGTCATGTGGGGACATGTCGTCCGGGGACATAGACATGTCAGTTGGAAACACACTATATATAGTATGCTGAGGATGTTATATTTTTAGAACCAGAAGGGCACGAGTCATATGCACTCCCCATAGTAATTAATAACTTCTGGCTCTAACATCACATCCACAAAGTTGCAGCAGTTCAGGTTTTTATAAATACTTTTAATGTGACATCATTGAAATAAAGTTTTGGGTTAGTGTTATTTTGAAATTATTATTATTATTATTATTATTATTAGTGTTGTTGTTATTAATAGTTGTAGAGTAGTTGTACTAAATATTTAGTTGTTTATTTATTTACTTAATGATAAGTGGTTTCTTTAATTTCTGGATAAGTGTTTTTCTTGTGATATATTCTTTTTATTCCTTTAAGTGTATAACCCACTACCTGTGTGCTGTGCTAGTACTATCATTACCCCCACTACCTGTGTGCTGTGCTAGTACTATCATTACCCCCACTACCTGTGTGCTGTGCTAGTACTATCATTACCCCCACTACCTGTGTGGTGTGCTAGTACTATCATTACCCCCACTACCTGTGTGCTGTGCTAGTACTATCATTACCCCCACTACCTGTACATTGCTCTCACTGCTATACGACGGAGTATTGCAGTGAGAGTATATCCTATATCCCTATATCTCCCTATATCCTGCACGGCGATATACGCATCATAATCCACAGCCCCTAATCCCCTTCCCCCCTCCCCCACCCACCCCCACCTCCCCACCGACCCCCCCCTCCTCTGAACCCAAAGAATCAACTCTATTCAAAGTAAATACGGATGCTATTGGGTCTTCGTCAAGCCACAGACCAAGCCACACACTGGCCCGGAACTAAGAGGTATGAGCTACGTGGAAAGGCTAAGGGAGCTGAACACAGAAGTCCCTGGAAGACAGAAGAGTAAGGGGAGACATGATCACAGCCTACAAAATTCTCAGGGGAATTGACAGGGTGGACAAAGATAAATTCTTCAACACTGGTGGGACACGAACAAGGGGACACAGGTGGAAACTTAGTACCCAAATGAGCCACAGAGACATTAGAAAGAACTTTTTCAGTGTCAGAGTAGTTAACAAAAGGAATGCATTAGGAAGTGATGTGGTGGAGGCTGACTCCATACACAGTTTCAAGTGTAGATATGATAGAGCCCAATAGGCTCAGGAACCTGTACACCAGTTGATTGACAGTTGAGAGGCGGGACCAAAGAGCCAGAGCTCAACCCCCGCAAGCACAACTAGGTGAGTACACCTGAACACACACACACACACACACATACACACACACACACACACACACACACACGAGCTAACAAGATAAGAATACAATTTATTATTGTACAGAGTTCCGATAAAATATTAATATAGTTAAGCTTTATTACCGACCCTCATCCACCGCCACATTATTCTACCCACACCCCCACACCCTCCCCCCTCCCCACACCCCTAGCACCCCCCTCCCCCCCAGCCAGCACCCAGAGCCTGAGCAGCGTGTGTGTGTGTGTGGTTGACAGGTGGGCTGGGTGAAAGCGGACACCAAGGCGATCCAGGCTATCCACAAGCACGTGATCACCCACAACTCGCGGGTGACCGTCAGCCACAGCGACCACAACACCTGGATGCTGCACATCAGAGGCGTCCAGGAGGAGGACAGAGGCCCCTACATGTGTCAGATCAACACTGACCCCATGAGGTCACAGGTCAGTGTCGCCACTCTCACTATTCTCTCTCTCTCTCTTACCATGGCTCTCACTTCTATTGTTGTCACACTCTCTCTGCCTCTCTCTCTCTGTGTCTCTGACTCTCTCTCTCTGTGTCTCTGACTCTCTCTCTCTCTTTCTGCCTCTCTCTCTGTCTCTCTCTCTGCCTCTCTCTCTGTCTCTCTGTCTCTGTGTGTGTCTCTCTCTCTCTCTCTCTCTCTCTCTTACCATAGCTCTCACACCTCTCTCTCTCGCTCTCTCTCTCGCTAACATAAACAAGATGATGCTCTCTCCCCTCGCCTCTTCCAGTCAATTTTTCACGGGGCTACAGCTTTCAACACTATCTTCCCCTTTTCTCCCCTCTCTCCCTCCCTCCCTATCTCTCTCTCACTTTCCTATCTCTCCCCTCCTTCCCTTTCCTTACTACCACCTTTCCATTCCCTCATTACCTACCGTGTCTCACACTGTCATTCCTATGCGTGAGAGATATGTCTCTTCTCTCACTCTCCTTTCCCCCTCACTCTCCTCCCTCACTCTCCTACTCCCTCACACCTCCTCCCTCACACCTCTCCCTCACTCTCCTCCTCCTCCTCCCTCACACCTCATAATACACCTGACTGGACCAAAATGTCTTCTCTATTCAACTCCTAAATTGTCTTTCAATCACAGGGGCATGAACAACGTATGCAACATGAGAGGTAGAGGCGTTAGTCCATCGGGTTACTGTGCGTCGCTCGACCATACGTGGAGCGGCCCCTTAGCGCCCTCAGCGCCTCAACTTCTTGAAAAGATAAAAAAAAATAGTGAATCGAGAGATTTTTTTTTGCTTACTCTATCCATGAATTGACTGTCGACCAGATGACTGCTGATCTGGTAGGGCTGTCGACCAGATGACTGCTGATCTGGTAGGGCTGTCGACCAGATGACTGCTGATCTGGTAGGGCTGTCGACCAGATGACTGCTGATCTGGTAGGGCTGTCGACCAGATGACTGCTGATCTGGTAGATCTGTCGACCAGATGACTGCTGATCTGGTAGATCTGTCGACCAGATGACTGCTGATCTGGTAGGGCTGTCGACCAGATGACTGCTGATCTGGTAGGGCTGTCGACCAGATGACTGCTGATCTGGTAGATCTGTCGACCAGATGACTGCTGATCTGGTAGATCTGTCGACCAGATGACTGCTGATCTGGTAGATCTGTCGACCAGATGACTGCTGATCTGGTAGATCTGTCGACCAGATGACTGCTCATCTGGTAGATCTGTCGACCAGATGACTGCTGATCTGGTAGATCTGTCGACCAGATGACTGCTCATCTGGTAGATCTGTCGACCAGATGACTGCTGATCTGGTAGATCTGTCGACCAGATGACTGCTCATCTGGTAGATCTGTCGACCAGATGACTGCTCATCTGGTAGATCTGTCGACTAGATGACTGCTCATCTGGTAGGGCTGTCGACCAGATGACTGCTGATCTGGTAATGCTGTCGACCAGATGACTGCTCATCTGGTAGGGCTGTCGACCAGATGACTGCTGATTTGGTAGATCTGTCGACCAGATGACTGCTGATTTGGTAGGGTTGTCGACCAGATGACTGCTGATCTGGTAGGGCTGTCGACCAGATGACTGCTGATCTGGTAATGCTGTCGACCAGATGACTGCTCATCTGGTAGGGTTGTCGACCAGATGACTGCTGATTTGGTAATGCTGTCGACTAGATGACTGCTGATCTGATAGTGCCGTCGACCAGATCTTCCTCCCCCTCCCTCCCATCCCCCTCGTGGTAGCCATCCTCACCACAGAAGGGAACAAGATGGAAGCAAGATGGAAAACTTCATTTATAAATCACTTAAAAACCTCACCACTCCTAGATATATCCTCTTGAACCTGCCCAATTCCTCACTCTTTAACGAGGCTTCTTCAGGGCTAACGAGGCTTTTCGGGGGAGGACTAACGAGGGCTGGCCACCCCCCACCCCTCCACCCCACCCCTGAGAATCACCCCCACCCCCCACTACCTCCCCCTTCAGAAAGGGTCACATAAAGCGTAGCGGGTGTCGAACCTGGAGTGATGGGGGTGTTTGTGGTCAGCAGAGAACCTCTTTCCCTCTTCTCCGTGTGGTGGGGGGGTGGGGGGACCTGTTTGTGCAATCAGCTAGTTGTATTCGGCTAGTTGTGCTTGCGGGGGTTGAGCTTCGGCTCTTTGGTCCCGCCTCTCAACCCTGCCTGTGTGGAGCCCGAGTTCCGACACTGACTGTGGGGGCGGCGTGGGAGGGGTGACTGTGGGGGCGGCGTGGGAGGGGTGACTGTGGGCGTGGCGTGGGAGGGGTGACTGTGGGGGCGGCGTGGGCGGAGTGACTGACTGTGGGGGCGCCGTGGGAGGGGTGACTGTGGGGGCGGTGTGGGCGGAGTGACTGACTGTGGGGGCGCCGTGGGAGGGGTGACTGTGGGGGCGCCGTGGGAGGGGTGAGACTGACTGTGGGGGAGCCGTGGGAGGGGTGACTGTCTGTGGGCGTGGCGTGGGAGTGACTGACTGTGGGCGTGGCGTGGGAGGGGTGACTGTGGGCGTGGCGTGGGAGGGGTGACTGACTGTGGGGACGCCGTGGGAGGGGTGAGGCTGACTGTGGGGGCGCCGTGGGAGGGGTGACTGACTGTGGGGGCGGCGTGGGAGGGGTGACTGACTGTGGGGGCGCCGTGGGAGGGGTGAGACTGTGGGGGCGCCGTGGGAGGGGTGAGACTGTGGGGGCGCCGTGGGAGGGGTGAGACTGACTGTGGGGGCGCCGTTGGAGGGTTGACTGACTTTGGGGGCGCCGTGGGAGGGGTGACTGACTGTGGGGGCGCCGTGGGAGGGGTGACAGACTGTGGGGGCGCCGTGGGAGAGGGGTGAGAGACTGTGGGAGCGCCGTGGGAGAGGGGTGAGAGACTGTGGGGGCGCCGTGGGAGGGGTGACTGACTGTGGGGGCGCCGTGGGAGAGGGGTGAGAGACTGTGGGAGAAGATTTATAGCTGGGAGGAGTGTGAGAGATGGCCGGGCGTCGCAGGATCCAATCTGGCTGCACGTCTCTCCTGGTTTTTGAACTTGTCACTAGTATTGAGAGGCGCCAACCACGACCAGATGTGACGGCTCCTGCCTCCTCTCCCCTCTCTCTCTCTCTCTACTCTCCTAGTTGTGCTTGTGGGGGTTGAACTCTGGCTCTTTGGTCCCGCCTCTCAACTGTCAATCAACTGTTTCTACTACTACTTTTTTTCCCCACACCCCACTCTCTCCCCCACACTCCCCCACACACCCCACTGCATGTTAGGCCTAATCAAAGCCTAAAAGTACACAAAATTTTAATATACGACAATATCAATTTATATATGAGAATTTAACGAATATTTAAATAAAACAGAATGTTTAAAGTTATGAATAAAACTAGTGAGTGAGCACCTTTGAACCCTCTCTCCATTAGTGAATGTTTAAACATTAGTGAATAATTAATGATTTATTAGTGAATGTTTAAACAAACATATCTCCTTTCTTGAGTTATAACATTCTCTCACATTGTCACCTGTGTGTGTGTGTCTGGGGGTACATACACATACACTTCAGCTTTACATTGTATGAGTTCACGATCAGGGAAGCCTCTTGTGGCGTGGTGGTTGGCGGTACAGACGTTAACCAGGTTGTTTGAGTTGGTGTTCCGTTCACCAGACCAGTCTGAACAGTCACTGACCACCCCCAAGACGACCTGAGCGCTCCTCCTGGGTTCAGTCCTCCTCCTAGACTGAGTGCTCAGGTCACTCCTAGTACACAAGGCAGTCTGGTACCCCTGTTGGACCACTTCAGTAGCCTGGTACCCCTGCTGGACCACTTCAGTAGCCTGGTACCCCTGCTGGATACACTTCAGACCACAAGTGCACCTCCACACACACCCCGAGGAATCGGTCACTCCAGGATCATCTCCCCTCCATACAGGAAACTAGGGGCCAGATTCACGAAGCAGTTACTTAAGCACTTACGAACCTGTCCATCTTTTCTCAATCTTTGGCGGCTTTGTTTACAATTATTAAACAGTTAATGAGCTCCGAAAGCACCAGGAGGCTGTTTAGAACAATAACAACAGTTGATTGGCAAGTTTTCATGCTTGTAAACTGTTTAATAAATGTAACCAAAGCCGTCAAAGATTGAATAAAGATGTACACGTTCGTAAGTACTTGCGTAACTGCTTTCGTGAATCTGGCCCCATGGGCCTCAACACTCTACTACCTCTACTAAGCGTGTAGCAACTTACCAGGAATACAATTTAACTCACTCTGGTCGCCGGCAGTGTTGCATCTCTGCTAACTATCCACCTTGCAACACCTAATTATATTTAATAACACTTGCAAATGAGAGTAACGTGTCTATGAAGTAACTCTATCCATCTGAAGCTTGTGATAATGTGAGAAGAATGGTCTTAAGGCTGAAGAAACACAAGGAAATACAAACATACCTCAAGTATGGTGGCTGTCTCTCCCTGCAACTTGTGCAAGCTCCTCCTATCTGCAATAACATGAAAGACAGTTTGTAAACTGCTGAAATACCTCCATACACAACACACAGGCACCATATTTTAATCCATAAACATGATAGTATTCCTGGTAGTAGTACCCTGCGTACCCACACCACCGTGCCCAACAGATCGGGTACCTGGAGGTGACGGTGCCCCCAGAGATCGACGACAGTCGGTCGTCGACGGACGTGATGGTGCCCGAGGGCTCCAACGCCCCCATAGTGTGTCGTGCTAGAGGGTACCCCAAGCCCAAGATCACTTGGACCAGAGAGGACCAGAAACACATCGTCTTGAGGACCAATGACCCAAACATGCCCAAGGTTAAGAGTGAGTAGAGTGAGGGGACGAGTGTGGGCACTCATTGTGAGTCAATATATGAGTAGATTTACTTATATAAATGTGTAAATGGAGTAAAATATTGATTGAAATATTGATTTATTCAGTGTTGTGATGTAATTGATGATGTGTTTAATGTTTTGATATAATGTTTATATATATTATCTTCACCCCCGACCCTACGCCCTCTCCCCCACACCCCCCCCCCACTCTCCCCCACACCCCCCACACCCCCCACTCTCCCCCCAGAAATGAGCCACGAGGGAGAGGTGCTGAACCTGACGCACATCACCAGGTCGGACATGGGTCCCTACCTCTGTATCGCTAACAACACGGTTCCTCCCATCGTCAGCAAGCGTATCATGGTCGAAGTGCATTGTTAGTGGTCTCTTTACTGCTTGTTAGTGGTCCCGTTACTGCTTGTTAGTGGTTCCGTTACTGCTTGTTAGTGGTCCCGTTACTGCTTGTTAGTGGTCCGTTACTGCTTGTTAGTGGTCCGTTACTGCTTGTTAGTGGTTCGTTACTGCTTGTTAGTGGTCCGTTACTGCTTGTTAGTGCTCCGTTACTGCTTGTTAGTGCCCCGTTACTGCTTGTTACTGCTTGTTGGTGGCTTTACTGCTTGTTAGTGGTCCGTTACTGCTTGTTAGTGGTCCGTTATTGCTTGTTAGTGGTCCGTTACTGCTTGTTAGTGGTCCGTTACTGCTTGTTAGTGGTCCGTTACTGCTTGTTAGTGGTCCCGTTACTGCTTGTTAGTGGTCCGTTATTGCTTGTTAGTGGTCCGTTACTGCTTGTTAGTGGTCCCGTTACTGCTTGTTAGTGGTCCGTTATTGCTTGTTAGTGGCCCGTTACTAGTGACAGGTGTGTGTGGTCGTGTGAAGGTATAGTGACAGGTGTGTGTGGTTGTGTGAAGGTATAGTGACAGGTGTGTGTGGTTGTGTGAAGGTATAGTGACAGGTGTGTGTGGTTGTGTGAAGGTGTAGTGACAGGTGTGTGTGGTTGTGTGAAGGTATAGTGACAGGTGTGCTAGTGTGTGAAGGTATAGTGACAGGTGTGTGTGGTTGTGTGAAGGCGTAGTGACAGGTGTGTGTAGTTGTGTGAAGGTATAGTGACAGGTGTGCAAGTGTTTGAAGGTGTAGTGACAGGTGTGCTAGTGTGTGTAGGTATAGTGACAGATGTGTGTGGTTGTGTGAAGGTATATGTACAGGTGTGCTAGTATGTGAAGGTATATTGACAGGTGTGTGAATGTGTAGGCACAGGTGTAGACGTACAGTCAGCAGATGTGGAAGTACAGGTATGGGGGGACAGGTGTAGTAACAGGTGTGTGTATTACTCTCCCCCCCTACTACTACAGCTCCCCCCCCCCCACAGTCCGTCCAGTGATCCACGTGCCCAACCAGCTCATCGGAGTGCCTGTGGGCAGCTCAGCCAAGCTTGAGTGTAACCTGGAGGCCTCTCCCAAGTCTATCCAGTACTGGACACGCGACACAGGTCAGACCCCTCATACCTCATACCTCATACCTGATACCTCATCTCTCATCTCATACCTCATACCTCATCTCTCACACCTCATACCTCATACCTGATACCTCATCTCTCATCTCATACCTCATCTCTCATCTCTCACCTCATACCTCATACCTCACACCTCGTCTCATGCCTCATACCTCATACCTCATCTGTCACCTCACACCTCATACCTTATCCTTCATACCTAATCCCTCACCTCATCTCTCATCTCCCACCTCATCCCTCATACCTCATCTCTCACCTCACACCTCATCTCACAAAGGACACAGGTGTACTTAAGGCTCTCCTGGTTCATTAAGTGTTTTCTGCCATATTCAATGTGTATGTTTTCCTGGTCAATATATAATCGTGGCTATTGTCATATATATGCGGCATATAGCTGCGTTATATCGCAGTATCGCACAGTAAATGTATATATATTAATACCCCAATATAAATTGATATATATTGCAACCCTTCCTCCTTTTTAGATAGTACTTTGTATAGTAATTGCTTAGTACGTCAAAATATTGACATACTAAGCAATTAGATAGTAGAACTTCGTACTATACACTTTATAGTAAAAGTAAAAGAACGTAGATGAATTAGTTGATCTAAAAAGCCATCTAGAGAGAGAGTCAGTCCTCCGGTTCACCCATGAAAATAGTGAAAATAACAGTCTGCCATTCCTGGATGTACTAATAGCAAAAACAGGAACCTCTTTAAGCACCAACGTATATACCAAGCCCACCAACATAGGATTATGCCTGAACGGTAGGAGTGAGTGCCCCCAAAGATACAAAGCCAGTGTTCTCAATGCTTATATTCGTCGAGCGCTTACCCACTGCTCTGAATGGAACAACGTGAGTAGAGAGTTTGACAGAGTAACTCGGGTATTGGTGAACAACGGATATAGCAACGCGGAAATAAACGCTGCTCTAAGACGACACCTGGACCGATGGTACAATCCTGAACCAATCCTGGTGTTTAAACTACAACACCTCCAATAAAATTATATTATAAATCCACGCACACGCACTACGATCCGTCGAGGACGTGGACACAACGCGATCCAAACGTCTGAAGCTGCTCCCCTTGACGGTCATGCTTTCTGGAAAAACGATATTCTTAAGGCCGTGAAGGACGTTACCGGCATCACTCCCGCTGACATTAGTCAAGGCACTACGGGCTCACCATAGCCCGTGCTACTTGGAACTTTGTTCCAGGTAGCAAATCTTTAACAACAACAACATGACATTAGTCAGGAAGGTGATGGTATCGTGCTCTTCTTTCCACGTGAGGAAGAGCGTGAAAAACTCCAGGCCAAGGATGCCCTACTCCACAAGGAGCGCCACCTACATCCTCACTTCCCTCGTCAGTTCCTGGCCGGAAGAACTGTTTATACCAGCAGCACCAGCCAGTGGACCGCTGACCGACCTCAACAAGAGATCATGGACAATATCGAGGATGAAAATCCGAGTCTGGGTGGATTTAACCAAGAGTTCTGCAACACCGATAAATCATCAATGAAGATTACTTTCACCACCATAGGCCACCCAGGCTGCCACACAAGGTTTCTACTGCTGCGGCTAACAAATACCCCCCCCCCCACCAGGTAAAAAAGGAACGATACCATGAGATCCAGAAGTGCTTCAAGTGCTACGAGCTCTCCCACCCGACCAACAAGTGTCAGCACCCTGTCCAGAGGTGCAGCCTGTGCGCACTGGACAATCACTACTCCATATGCAAGGCAACAGTCCATCACTGCTTGCTCTGTGATGGCAATCACCCTGACATTTCCTACCGCTGCCCCCGCAGTCAGGAAAGCATCAAGGCCCAGGTTGAAGCCAAGAGAAACAACCCTTCTACCACCTCGACCAGAGTCCCAGGTGCTCAACCCACCACCTCAGCTCCCACTAACCGACCAGAAGACTTTCCAGTCTTACCAAAGCTCTTCCATCCAGGCGACCCAGCCTTCACAATGGGGACCCAAGGCCCCACAGACTCCTTCACAGCCCCCTGCATCACGTGCAGGCATCCCTGGTCTTATTAGACTAGCGGAGAGGCTTGCTGGACCAGACAACCACCGTTTTGTCAGTGAACTGAACACATTATACCTGGCCAATGGCCTGGCCGCCATCATAGCCCCTGGCGCAAGTCTCACTGCCTCCACTACCACTCCGGAGACTATCACCAGGACCACCACGAAGTCAATCTCAACACAGCCTCCAGAACCACCCCATGACCCGGGCGGCACAGAGAAGCATAGAGGTAATTCCCTCTCCAGCTCCCTAACCTAACCTAACCATCACCATCTTAGCAGCCGCGCTAGCAGACGTGCTGTCTACAAACGATAACAGCACCACCAACGCTCCTGAAATAGCTACAACCACCAATCCACGACACCTGAGCCTACCTAAGGCAGCGAGGCGAAAGACGAAAACACCAACTTCGGAGGTTACGGACTCCTCGGACGAGGAAATCATAGTAGGAGCTCCACCGCCGCACCACAAATACCACACCTACACGGCCCAAGACCTCCTCATGGAGGCCGCGTCACCAAACTCCAACGACAGCCAAAATCGCAAAGAAAAAACGGTAAACCTGGAGGTGTACACTAATCCCACCAGCTCCATAACTGGTACAGCCAGCCCTCCACTACACTAATCCCACCAGCTCCATAACTGGTACAGCCAGCCCTCCACTACACTAATCCCACCAGCTCCATAACTGGTACAGCCAGCCCTCCACTACACTAATCCCACCAGCTCCATAACTGGTACAGCCAGCCCTCCACTACACTAATCCCACCAGCTCCATAACTGGTACAGCCAGCCCTCCACTACACTAATCCCACCAGCTCCATAACTGGTACAGCCAGCCCTCCACTACACTAATCCCACCAGCTCCATAACTGGTACAGCCAGCCCTCCACTACACTAATCCCACCAGCTCCATAACTGGTACAGCCAGCCCTCCACTACACTAATCCCACCAGCTCCATAACTGGTACAGCCAGCCCTCCACGGCTGAAAACCATCATGAAGACTCACATCCATCCCCAGATTTCTAATTTTAGCCATTGATACAGATAATGGCTCCAAAGAGCCTCCACTTACGGGAGGCTCACCATAACCTGTGCTACTGGAACTTCTTGTTCAGAGTAGCTGACTCTAAAATAACAAAAACAAGGCATTTTCTCATCACTTGAGAATGAACCATGTAGGTTCGAAACGTTGTGTAAATTTTATAATAAGTATAATACATTCTACAGTTATTTTTTCTTCACCTCGAACGAAGATGACCTTTGGAGAACTCCTCTTCCAATTAAACCAAGATGCTAGAACACTAGTCAGAGGCATAGACGCCCCCTAAACAAAAAAAAATAATAATCAATACAGAATATCCAGTCATATTCAATGAAACATTATGAGTATATTACAAGGAATACATTATTATATTACAGTCGTGAAATTTCCCCCAAAGTCTCACTATCGCATATTCACTCACCTTCTTAATAGCCCCGCATGCAGGTGAGGAGTCACAATAACGGGGCTGAAGTATGTTGACCAGACCACACACTAGAAGGTGAAGGGACGACCACGTTTCGGACACCTCAGACGAGGAAATCATAGTAGTGATTTATGAGTAGTGATCACAATCGACTTGTGAATGGTCCAGGACGGACCGAAACGTCGTCGTCCCTTCAACTTCTAGTGTGTGGTCTGGTCAACAATAGCACCCCGCTTCTTAGCACCCCACTAACCCCCTCCCCCCCACCCCCCCCTCTCCACCGCAGGAGAGATGTTGATCAGCAACAGTGAATACATCGTGGAGGAGACTCTCACTAACTTCTACATGACGAAGATGACCCTCACTATCTCCTCCTTCACTCACCATCACAAGGGCGTGTACTACTGCACTACCAAGAACTCCCTCGGGGAGACGCAGGGCAAGATTACCGTCTATGGTGAGTGCCACCGGTGGTTATGGTGAGGAGAGGAGGGTCTATGGTGAACTGGGTGATTACGCACATGACGATATGTAGATAGTGTTTATTTTCATCAATCAGCTGACGTTTGTTTACATCAATCAGCTGATGTTTGTTTATATCAATCAGCTGACGTTTGTGTACATAAATCAGCTGTTTGTTTACATCAATCAGCTGATATTTGTGTACATAAATCAGCTGACGTTTGTGTACATAAATCAGCTGACGTTTATGTACATAAATCAGCTGACGTTTGTATACATAAATCAGCTGACGTTTGTTTACATCAATCAGCTGACATTTGTTTACATCAATCAGCTGGCGTTTGTTTACATAAATCAGCTGACGTTTGTGTACATAAATCAGCTGACGTTTGTGTACATAAATCAGCTGATGTTTGTTTACATCAATCAGCTGACGTTTGTTTACATAAATCAGCTGACGTTTGTTTACATCAATCAGCTGACATTTGTTTACATTCCTAAACCTGCACGTGGTCTCTCTCTCTCTCCTTTTTTCCTGCCGCAGAGATCGAGATGCCGACGGAGAGGCCGGCGGAGGAGGAGGATATAACGCAGCAGGGGCGAGGCGCCAGCTACACCCCCATAGAGTTCAGCAACGAGATCCCCTACGGGCCCCGTTCTCGCGAGGACACGTCTACGAGACACGAGGACATCGTCACCAGAGGCCACGTCACGCACCCTCGGCCCAATCACAGGACGCCGCCCACCAACAAGAACAGAAATCCCTATCACGGGATTGGGGGGCAGGAGGAAGGGGGGGCGGCGAGACCCACCCGCCCCCCCTGGTGGGATTGGGATCAACCAGCTTCGTGTCACGTCCCGAAGGTCGCTAATTTGACCCTTCTGGTGTTGTTGTGCCTTGGTGGACGCGTTTGGGCTTAGATTCGATCAGCAATAATGATCAAAAAACTGTTATATACTTTTTTTTGGCGCCAGAGATCATTGAGAGAAAATGGGAAAAAATAATGGTGAACTCCGTCATTTTCATCCCTCCCCCTCAATTCATCATACTCCCATACCTCATCATGTAGCATATCTCCCACTCCTATAATCTACAGCATACCTACCCCCCTCCACTCCTACATAATGTAACATACCCCATCCACACATCATATAGCATACTCCAGCCCCCTATAACATGTAGCGTACCCCAGCCCTTATATCATGAATCATACTCTATCAACCTCTACATCATGGAGCATACCCCTGCCTACCCCCTCCACTGATATACTCGGTGTCCTCACCTTGGTTATACTGGAGGCCATACGCTGGTCTGTTACACCATATCATTCGTTGTCCTGCGTTGTACATAATACAGACACATGTATCATAGGTGGTAGACACTAGCTTGTCATAATGTATAAAGATACATAGCTATTATAATGGTATATCCCCTTGACACTGAACGCTTGACACTGACATTGTGGTACAGCTTGACACTGTGGTACAACTTGACACTGACATTGTGGTACAGCTTGACACTGTGGTACAGCTTGACACTGACATTGTGGTACAGCTTGACACTGTGGTACAGCTTGACACTGACATTGTGGTACAGCTTGACACTGTGGTACAGCTTGACACTGACATTGTGGTACAGCTTGACACTGACACTGTGGTACAGCTTGACACTGTGGTACAGCTTGACACTGACATTGTGGTACAGCTTGACACTGAAATTGAGGTACAGTTTGACACTGACATTGTGGTACAGTTTGACACTGACATTGTGGTACAGTTTGACACTGACATTGTGGTACAGCTTGACACTGACATTGAGGTACAGTTTGACACTGACATTGAGGTACAGTTTGACACTGACATTGTGGTACAGTTTGACACTGACATTGTGGTACAGTTTGACACTGACATTGTGGTACAGTTTGACACTGACATTGTGGTACAGTTTGACACTGACATTGTGGTACAGCTTGACACTAACATTGTGGTACAGCTTGACACTGACATTGAGGTACAGCTTGACACTAACATTGTGGTACAGCTTGACACTGACATTGTGGTACAGCTTGACACTGACATTGTGGTACAGCTTGACACTGACATTGTGGTACAGCTTGACACTGACATTGTGGTACAGCTTGACACTGACATTGTGGTACAGTTTGACACTGACATTGTGGTACAGCTTGACCCTGTGGTACACCACCAGACAAACCCCGCTCAACGGAACACGCTACCACACAACCCTTCCCCCCCTACCCCCCTACCCCCCCCCCCTGTCACGTCTCATGAACAACCTGAACCCATCAGAGTAGTTGTGTACACCTGACACCACAAACACCCCCAGGTGTGGCAGGTGTGTACACCTGACACCACAAACACCCCCAGGTGTGGCAGGTGTGTACACCTGACACCACAAACACCCCCAGGTGTGGCAGGTGTGTACACCTGACACCACAAACACCCCCAGGTGTGGCAGGTGTGTACACCTGACACCACAAACACCCCCAGGTGTGGCAGGTGTGTACACCTGACACCACAAACACCCCCAGGTGTGGCAGGTGTGTACACTAAGCTGTGCCCAGCTTAGCTGCCAACTACACCCGGGGGAACACCCGCTGCTGTCTTCCTGTCACTAGTACATACACACACACACTCTTCTTATACACCATTGGTACCCATGAACAAATCCACAAGGGCCGTGACGAGGATTCGAACCTGCGTCCGAGAGCATCCCAGACGCTGCCTTTTAATCGACTGAGCTACGACATGGTCAAAAAAAAGAGTTTAAACCATAACTTCTACTGAACTTCCTTGGATCCTGCAGCCTCTCCGAGACACAAACCAGGGTTTTACACAACTCCCCCCTGCACCCGAGCTATGTCAATAGGCTGTTCCACCTCTTCGCCCTTACTTCATTACACATCTCATGTTACCTAGCAGTAAAATAGGTACCTGGGAGTTAGTCAGCTGTCACGGGCTGCTTCCTGGGAGGGGTGGAGGCCTGGTCGAGGACCGAGCCGCGGGGACACTAAAGCCCCGAAATCATCTCAAGATAACCTCAAGATAACCTCACATTACATCACGTTATTGTGACTTCTGCATGTAATTGTACCAAGATGTACACCTGGCATTCCAGTCCATTACAATGTGTATTATTGTTCGGATTTTTAATTACCTTACCTTGAGGTGCTTCCGGGGCTTAGCGTCCCCGCGGCCCGGTCGTCGACCAGGCCTTGCGGGTCATTATATCAATGAAATTATATCATCATATATATTATAATGAAGATATCATTATATCTTCATTATATCAATGAAATTTCAAACAAATTGAAAGAAATGTTTGTTTTCTTTCATCTCATTTAAACTGAAGTGTACTCACCTAGTTGTGCTTGCGGGGGTTGAGCTCTGGCTCTTTGGTCCCGCCTCTCAACCGTCAGTCAACTGGTGTACAGGTTCCTGAGCCTATTGGGCTCTATCATATCTACACTTGAAACTGTGTATGGAGTCAGCCTCCACCACATCAGTGTGTGACAGAGCCGGTGACGGACGCTTCGTATTATCACCAGTTAACACCTACAGTTACTGACTTCAGTAGTTGACTGGCGCGTTATATCTCTTAGCAGTATACACTCGTCACACTGTACAGTATACTCCCTGGGGTATACTTCAGCCCGGGATAATGTTTGGGATTAAAGTACACTTACTGGCTAGTTACTCCCTCAGTAACTACAGTTATGTTCCCCTGTTGCCTGTAACTACCTGGTACACTGTAGTACCCTGTGGTACACTGTAGTACCCTGTGGTACACTGTAGTATACTGTAGTATCCTGTGATACACTGTAGTACCCTGTGGTACACCGTAGTACCCTGTGGTACACTGTAGTACCCTGTGGTACACTGTAGTACCCTGTGGTACACTGTAGTACACTGTAGTATCCTGTGGTACACTGTAGTACCCTGTGGTACACTGTAGTACCCTGTGGTACACTGTAGTACCCTGTGGTACACTGTAGTACCCTGTGGTACACTGTAGTACCCTGTGGTACACTGTAGTACCCTGTGGTACACTGTAAACCCCTGTGGTACACTGTAATACCTCGTGGAACACTATAGTACCCTGTGGTACACTGTAATACTCCGTGGTACACTGTAATACCCCGTGGTACACTGTAATACCCTGTGGTACACTGTAGTACCCTGTGGTACACTGTAGTACCCTGTGGTACACTGTAATACCCCGTGGTACACTGTAATACCCCGTGGTACACTGTAGTACCCCCGTGGTACACTGTAGTACCCTGTGGGACACTGTAGTACCCTGTGGTACACTGTAATACCCTGTGGTATACTGCAATACCCTGTGGTATACTGTAATAACCTGTGGTACACTGTAATATCCTGTGGTACACTGTAGTACCCTGTGGTACACTGTAATACCCTGTGGTACACTGTAATACCCTGTGGTACACTGTAATACCTCGTGGTACACTGTAATACCCTGTGGTACACTGTAATACCCTATGGTACACTGTAGTACCCCTGTGGTACACTGTAAAACCCTGTGGTACACTGTAAAACCCTGTGGTACACTGTAATACCCCGTGGTACACTGTAATACCCTATGGTACACTGTAGTACCCCTGTGGTACACTGTAAAACCCTGTGGTACACTGTAATACCCCGTGGTACACTGTAATACCCTGTGGTACACTGTAATACCCTGTGGTACACTGTAATACCCCGTGGTACACTGTAATACTCCCGTGGTACACTGTAATACCCCCGTGGTACACTGTAGAACGCTGTGGTACACTGTAATACCCTGTGGTACACTGTAGTACCCTGTGGTACACTGTAATACCCTGTGGTACACTGTAGTACCCCATGGTACACTGTAATACCCTGTGGTACACTGTAATACCCCCATGGTACACTGTAACACCCTGTGGTACACTGTAGTACCCTGTGGTACACTGTAATACCCTGTGGTACACTGTAATACCCTGTGGTACACTGTAGTACCCCTGTGGTACACTGTAGTACCCTGTGGTACACTGTAGTACCTTGTGGTACACTGTAGTACCCTGTGGTATACTGTAGTACCCCGTGGTATACTGTAATACCCTGTGGTACACTGTAGTACACTGTGGTACACTGTAGTACCCTGTGGTACACTGTAGTACACTGTAGTGCCCTGTGGTACACTGTAGTACCCTGTGGTACACTGTAATACCCTGTGGTACACTGTAGTACTTTGTGGTACACTGTAATACTCTGTGGTACACTGTAATACCCTGTGGTACACTGTAATACCCTGTGGTACACTGTAGTACTTTGTGGTACACTGTAATACTCTGTGGTACACTGTAATACCCTGTGGTACACTGTAATACCCTTTGGTACACTATACAAACTGTTCCAAACACCCTCATTCGTCTCCGAACACTTTCGAACACCTCCACATAAATCCGCAAAGGCTCAGATATCACTAATTACTTTCGAACATAAGCTTCATAACATCCTAAAACATCTACAAGAGTCCTCGAACAATTCCGAACACCCCCCAATACATTCCCAAACACCTCTTGATACCCGCACTCATCTGCAAACACTTCCGAACACCCTACACATATTTTCGAACACCCCCACACATATCTCTCCTGGGCACCAGCATACTTTCCGAACAACGAAAACCTCAGACATTCCGAACACGAACACGTATATATATATATATATATATATATATATATATATATATATATATATATATATATCGCGCCTAGTAGCCAGAACGCAATTGTCAGCCTACTATGCAATGCCAAATTTGCTTAATAAGCCAAGTTTTCCTGAATTAATATATTTTCTCAATTTTTTTCTTATGAAAAGATAAAGCTACCCATTTCATTATGTATGAGGTCAATTTTTTTTTATTGTAGTTAAAATTAACGTAGATATATGACCGAACCTAACCAACCCTACCTAACCTAACCTAACCTATCTTTATAGGTTAGGTTAGGTTAGGTAGCCGAAAAAATTAGGTTAGGTTAGGTTAGGTAGGTTAGGTCGTCGAAAAGCAATTAATTCATGAAAACTTGGCTTATTAGGCAAATCGGGCCTTGCATAGTAGGCTGAGAAGTGCGTTCTGGTTACTAGGTACGACATATATATATGTATATATATATATATATATATATATATATATATATATATATATATATATATATATATATATATATATATATATATATATATATATATAGACCAACTCTGACCAGATTTGTTTCTACCTAAAAATAAATATGCATGTTGAATCCAAGAAAACGTGATAATCTTGCCTAATTTTCTTCCACCTCTTCCTTCTGTTCACCTCCCTCACCTCCCTAGGGGAAGGGAGGAGTGGAGATACAGTCTCCTCCCCTCCCCCCCCACCCCCGTAACGCCTC